TGTGTCTTCACGGTACGTAATTACTAACTTGTGTGTGACTGACATAGACTGATCATGCTTGGTGTTATCTTCATGGTACGTTTGCTTCTTGTGTGTGACTGTAACAGACTGATCATACTAGGTGTTGTGTCTTCACGGTACGTAATTACTAACTTGTGTATGTCCAGGTTTGCCAAACTGCCGGGGTCGGGAGAAGAAGATCTGGAGAGTTCAGTCAGTCACATGATGGGCAACATTTCCCGCAGCAAGAAGCAGTGCTACGCTTTTGGCGTCAAGCCAGAGGCTGGACAAGATGGTGAGTTAAGAGCAGGGTTGTTTCCCTTGAGTAAGAGTTTTATAGCGCATGCAGCCTCTCTATTATGACCTTTGATATAACGACATCCTCTGTATAGCGACATAGTGCCCAGGCACCGATTTTTTCCTTATATGTCATTAGTAATTTTTGTTTGTCTCTCTATAACGACAACTCTCTATAACGACATTTTTTTCTGGTCCCGATGTGAATTCATATCTGTGAAAAGTGTGAATTCCAGTTCTATCTCCCTCAGCTCCAGCGCCTTCAAGCGATGAAGTTCCTCAACCAACAGAATACCCCTTCCAGTTCCAGATCAACTTCACTTCCATGGAAGGTGAGCTCTTCAATTTATTCCTTAAATTTTATTTTCTCTAATTTTTTCCCTTCTTCTCCTGGTCTTGCCACTGACGTCTTTTTTCACTTCTTTTTTTCCAGTTGTTGCTCTCCTTGTTGTTGTTGCTGCTGCTACTCCTCCTCCTCTTCCTTCTCTTCTTCTGTTTTTTTCATGTCCTCCTCACTCCCTCTCCTCCCCTCCCTTCCTCCTCTTCCACAACCCCCTTCATTATCCTCACCCCTTGTCACAATGGACAAGTTATGTTTTGGGCTTTTGTTGTAAAATACTTTCTGATGGGTTCAGTTTTAGTACGCCCCTGCAGGTGGGGGTGGGGGGGCATAGTTTTACTATGGGGGGGTAAAGAATACACCTGCCGTGATACTGGGTGTCGTAAGAGGCGACTAAAGGTGCATAGGTCTGGCCACCCGAAAAGTGACTGTTTGCGGAGGGCCAACTATCCGACCCAGTAAAAAAGGAAAGTTATAGAAACCTGAACAAACATGCCTTATAATTTTTCCATCTTGAGAGACGGAGGAGCTTCTGTATCAGCAGGAACAATGAAGGACAGCGGACAAAGCCGAAAGGACTCTTCTGACCCGTAACCATCTCTGTGGAACAAGTATCTCCGGATTGCGTCGTGGAATGTTCGCACCATCATGTATGAAGCAGAAAGAGTTCTCAAGTGACACAAGAGATGAAAAGATACTGGCTGCACATACTTGGAGTCAGCGAAACCCAATGGATACAGTCTGGACAGAAGCAATCAAGAGGAAGACCTCATGGAACCTGGAGAAGAGTCACGGAAATGGATGTAAAGTGGGAAGACGTGGAGTGACATCAAGCGACTAGCCCAGGATAGGGAAAGGTGGAGAGTGTTTGTTCGTGGCCTATATCCTGACCCAGGGTGAGAAAGGCAATGATGATGATGATGAAGTTTTAGTAGCCAAGCAAGACAGCAATAATTCATTCTACCATAAGTCGGCCTGATTGGTCATCTATGCTATGTCACCTGGACAAAATTAAGTTTGGGGTAAGGGTTAGGATTGGGTTAGGGATTTTATAAAAATTTAATGCACCGAATGACAGTCCAAAGCATGTATAAAAACGTAGTGGGAAAATGTGAAGTACGATAGAATGTAGTTGACAAGTAGACTGGCAAATGCAGCAGTTGTCACATTGATCCTGTGGTAGACTGTCAAATAGAACAGAAACATCACAGTAGACAGAAACATCACAGTAGACAGAAACATCACAGTAGACCATCAAGTAGACAGAAACATCACAGTAGACCATCAAGTAGACAGAAACATCACAGTAGACCATCAAGTAGACAAAAATATCGCAGTAGACAAACATCACAGTAGACCATCAAGTAGACAGAAACATCACAGTAGACCATCAAGTAGACAAACATCACAGTAGACCATCAAGTAGACAGAAACATCACAGTAGACCATCAAGTAGACAAAAACATCGCAGTAGACAAACATCACAGTAGACCATCAAGTAGACAGAAACATCACAGTAGACAAACATCACAGTAGACAGAAACATTACAGTAGACAGAAACATCACAGTAGACCATCAAGCAGAACAGAAACATCACAGTAGACCATCAAGCAGAACAGAAACATCACAGTAGACCATCAAGCAGAACAGAAACATCACAGTAGACCATCAAGCAGAACAGAAACATCACAGTAGACCGTCAAGCAGAACAGAAACATCACGGTAGACTGTCAAGTAGACTGGCAACCAATTTCAAATAAGCCATTATTTTTTACAGTGACAATGGCAATTCCAGTGCCAACCTTCATTCATCTAGCTGGAAGAAATTTGAGTTGTCTGTTAAAAATGCACCTCTTCCTCCATCAGGTCGAGTGGTCACCCGAGTGTGGACCGAAAAGAAGCCTGTCACCACAAGTCGCACAGAGGCCGAGCAAAGTAAGTACTGACAATTTTTGCATGTTTTTTTTGGTTGTTTTTTTTAGTTCTTTGCTGTGATTCTCTTTTGTGTCTTCTCATACCCCTGTGCCCTGTTACAGCTTGTGTATTTGTGTGTTGGCCTCCTTTAAGGAGATTTAGGGTAATAGATGTACTGAATGTCAACATGTCAACTTGACCCGGGAAATCTTTAATTGAATAAGCCTTTAAAGAATCTCTCCAAACTTGGGAGTTCTGACATATTTTATGCAAACTGGCTACAGTGCAAATCCTGAATTTGGCAGCAAGGTACTTCTAAACAACTTGCTTGTTCTCTTCTTTTTCTGTGTACCTCTGCTAGAGCCCCAGTGGAATTTGCCAGGCTTTGGTCATCAGCGAAGAGTAATTCATTTAGGGCGTCTGGTTCTGTGTTGGCCTCTTTTGTAAGTTTATCCCTATATATGATAAATAGTAGTGGTGATAGGACATAACCTTGTCTTACTCCGGATGTTATCTTGAACCATTCTGTGAGTTCCTCTGACGTTCTTACTGTACTTATGCTGTTCTCGTAAATGGCACGGATGTTATCTAGAAGTTGGCCTCTTACATTGTAGTTTTCGAGTTCTTTCCACAGCTTGTTCACTCTGTAAAACGTATTGCCAAAACTAAGATATCCCTCATTGTCATTTGCTTCATTATGGCTTTAACCAACAAATAAATATTTTCACCATCTTTTCAAATATCCAGATTAATGGTTGGTGTGCTGTTATCTATACTGAATCGAACTGGGCTAATATGGCCTTGCGGATGGGACTGGGTCAGGTTGGGGGCAATTGCTCCACTCGTCGCCTGAAAACAAACGAATGCATTTGTTTTTGAGTCAGCGAGTCGGGCATGATCGGCCTGTGCCATGATAGCCGCTTTGTTCCCTCAATCTGGCTAGCAAACCGCCCCGACCAGACCTGATCCCCCTATAGGCACCGCGTATAAGGGTTCAAATCCTGAAAAGGGATTTTTTTACCCTAATTCGTCAAGTGAGTTTACAAGGCTGTCCTTCCACATGGCTTCATCCAATCGGAGTTGGGTGTTTAATTCGTATGTGCATCTTTAACTCATTTAAAAGCGCAAAGCGAACACATGTCCGACAGCAGCAGATCAAAAACAAAGTTGTGGGATATTTCGAACCATCATACAGGCTAGAAACACAAGTTTGCATAATAATATATTATAGTATACATTATTGTGTCTTTTTAAGTGCCTCATAAAGGAAACAGAATTGAAAACTATGTATGAATAACGAAGTTATGCTTCTTTAAGTACTCTGGAACATCGTGCCTTCAAGCGTTCGAATGAACAGAATGTGCGTCCGCAATGAGTTAAAGAACCTAACAAAAATTGATTCCACCCCCCCCCCCCTTCCTCCCCCCGCTGCGCTTTTATTTCTTTGTTAAATATTAGAATGACACTGTCCGAGACGTTTATCTGTCTAAAACAACAACTCTTCACCTCGGCAATGGGTAGCTGTTGGGAATAATTTAGACTGAGTAATTCCATGTCCACGTTCGATCATTTTTTTTTCTGTACAGACTGCGACGTTAGTGCACAGACTGACAACTTCCTCCTGGGCTCCGCCACTGAACTTTTGAGCACGCCCGGGCCTCAGCTGCTGAGAAAGGCCAAGCAAATTGTGTCGGAATGTGAAAGCTTACAACAAAGGTAAGGAGGACAATATTGGAGACTGAAATTTTGAGGAAAGATTTAGGGTTGTTTTTTCAGTTTTTAGCCAGTAATATTTGTGTCCAGGCATTTTTTAGTCTAAAAGCAATGCTTTGGCTCCCTGTTCAGTTGTACTAACCTCAAAAAGCAAAATCTTTTCAGAAGAGAGCAAAAAACTATTTTATTCTTTTTTTTTAAACATTTAATTTGTATCTACTTTACATATTTCATCTTGCTTTTTTTCAACATTTAGAAGTTGTTTTTAGACAAAATATTTTTTCATGGACATGCTACCGATACCACTGATTAAGAAACATTCATTTTTTACAATTTAAAATGTAAAGCTTGGTACATCTGAACAGCTGACTGATGCATGCTTTCTTTCTTGAGGACAAACCCACATTTTGCAAGAGATATGTGAGGCAGCGTGGTGGAATCAGGCTCTCGTTAATGTTTGGGCATGTAGAGTTATTGGAATCATCTAAAAGCTTGTTCACTTGTCTTTATTTTGGATGAAAAAAAAATATCCATTTATCTTGAATACAACTCGAGATATTTGCGAAAGAAGGAGGTGGGGGCCACTTGTTTTCAGGGGTAAAATTAGTGAGAAAACGGCCATCAAAGATTAGTTTTTTCCTTAGCTTAAGAGTCCGTGGTAACTGAAAATTTACATTTTTTTAGACTTTAATCATCGTTTTTCAGAAAAATCCCCACTCAAATGAGTTCTTTAATGGGCATGAAAGGTGTTTAGCCAAAACACAAAAATTTGATAAAAATTCACAAACCTGCGGAAAAATGCCAATTTCTTGACTTCGATTTTTTTTACAAGAGTCTGATTCCACCACGCTGCCTCACATACTACAAATAATATAATATCAGTTGTAAAAGATTTTTATACTCAACGGTACGCTTACTTCTTTCAAATAATGTGTGGAGATCCGACAGGAGACATTTTTCGTTTTGATATATCTATTTATAGAATGAAGATTCGTTTTTTTCCTGTATTTCAGGCAAGGTCATGGACAAGTGAGGGAGATGCTCTCAAAGTTTCGGCAATGTGTGACAAAGGTTGGTAGCTTGTATTCTGTTTGTTGATTCAGTTTGGATTGTATTCAACATAAAGATGTCATGGTAGTATTCGAAATAAAGAATTTTGCATGGTACGTACTGTTGCGATTGTCCGAGATGGGCACTCTAAGTCACTGAGAAAAGTGGTTATCTTTGACTGGTGGACGTCTTACACAATGACATTAAGATATTCGGTTTTTTTTTAAAACGGAAGTGGGGAGTCGTCGTTTGTACAAATGGTTGTCTTTGCCGTCAGAGCATGGTCAGCTGTATTTGAAATGAAGGTGTCTTTAGTTTGCACAACAAAAAGTATGCTGCACTAAATTGAAAAAGGGGGAAAGAAAAAGGGGAAGGGGGAAGAAATTCCGTGAAGGTACCATGCATGGAAAGAAAGAAAAAGTTTGTGACATTGTTATTCCCAAGATTCAATTTGCTCTGATTTTCCTACCGCACATCTATCGTTATTTTCTCTCCTCCTTCTTTTCTCTGTATGTTACTCTGTAATAACGTCTCTAATCTTTGGCACTTTTATAACATAGCGTCACTGCACTAGCAAAATGGCATAACTCAGAGTTGTGTCAAAATGTAACGAGCCATGTATTTCTCTTCATGGTACTAGATATATCTTCTCGTAAAATCAAAACTAAAATGTGCTGGTAGTCACAAAAGAACATGCATGGCAAATTTTACCATTATGAGATAATCGATAGTCTTGTTGAACATTTTTTTATCATTATCTCAAAAGTAGCAAAAAATGAGATGTGCCATGCTAGCGCAATGACAGTATTTGTGAGACAGCGTGGTGGAATCAGGCTCTCGTCAATTTTTGGGCATGTAGAGTTATTGGTATTACCTCTAAACTGGTTTACTTGTCTTTATTTGGGGGGAAACAATATCCATTTATCTTGAATACAAGTCGAGATATTTGCAGATGAAAGAGGTGGGGTTACCTGTTTTCAGAGGTAAAATTAGTGAGAAAATAGCTGCCAAAGATTAGTTATTTCCTTAGCTTTAGAGTCCGTGGTAACTGAAAATTTATATTTTTTGTGCCTTTAATCAACGTTTTTCAGAAAAATGAACAGAAATGAGTTCTTGAATGGGCATGAAAGGTGCTGAGTCAAAAAACAAAAATTTGATAAAAATTCACAAACCTGGGGAAAAATGCAAGTCTCTTCACTTTGATTATTTTGACGAGAGCCTGATTCCACCACGCTGCCTCACATATTTGTCTTTTTATGTTTTGTTTTGTTTTGTTTTGTTTTATGTGTGACGTCCTTTTTTACCCCTTCTCCCAGATTGCACAGCTCCAGAAAATTGACGAGGACAGTGCCCTGTTTCTGCGGAGTCTCCAAACTGGAGCCTGAAATGAGGAAAATGCGATGACGTAGAAGACGTGTCGCTCTCATTTCTCGTGGGTCATCTGCTGATTTACCGTATATATTGTTTCTGTATGCTGTATAGTTTGGAATTTGTCTTTCCACCCCCATTGTCCACTTATACGGTACTGTAAAAGCTTGATGACACAAACTTTTCAGAAGGAGAGAATATGCCCGTGTTATGCAAGTTTCGTGGTAAAGGGTGTTGCAATGCAGAGTAAAGAGAGGAAAAAACCCTGGAGATTTCAAATCCTTTGTAGCAACAGGAATTTTTTGCTAAACGCAAAATTATTGCAATTAAGAATAATCATTTTTTTTTTTTAATGTACATTCTTTTTACACCCTTCTCGATACAATTTAGATAATTCAGGGGGTGAGCTTCGACCCTGCTTGTCAGGGCCAATCCAGGCTGAGAACCCTGCAACATCCCAGCAGAAGGTCTTAGATACTTGATAAAAATTCTTCTCGCTCGTGAAGCAAACTCAGGTCTCCTGTAGGCGATGGCCGGGAAGCACCTAACTGCAACACCACATACTCCCAATATTGTTTTGGGAATTTGCATAAGTTATCTTTGTTCCTTTCTCTACATGCAGACTGATGAGTTCAGGAAGGGAATTCATCTTTAAAAACAATAATGTTATATGTGTCACGTCGTGGTGGAATCAGGCGCTCGTCAATTGTGGAGCATTTGAAGTTTTTAGTATCGTCTTAAAGCATGTTCATTTGCCTTGTTTGTGGTGAAAAAAAAACCCCAACCTTTTATCTTGAAAAGAAGTCAAGATATTTGCGATATAAGGACGTGGAGGTCACCTGGTTTCAGAGGTAAAACAAGCGAGAAAGTAGCCGAATTTAATGACTTCCATAGCTTGAGAGTGAATGGAAACTGGAAATTTACATTTTTGTGCTTTTAATCAATGTTTTTCAATAAAATCCTCACAGAAATATATGAGGGAGCGTGGTGGAATCAGGCTCTCGTCAATTTTTGGTCATATTGAGTTATTGGTGTCACCTTTACAGTTGTCTTTATTTGGATGGAAAAAATATCCATTTATTTTGAATACAAGTCAAGATATTTGTGAAAGAAGGAGGTGGGGGTCACCTGTTTTCAGATGTAAAATTAGTGAGAAAATAGCCCCCAAAGCTTGGTAAATTCCAAAGCTGGAGAGTCCATGGAAACTGTAAATTTATATTTTTGTGCCTTTAATCAACGTTTTCGGTGAAATCCCCAAAGGAATGTGTTTGTAAATGGACATAAAAGGTGCTGAGCCAAAAAACAAAAATTTGATAAAAATTGCTAAGCAGGGAGAAAACTGCTGTTTTCTTCAATTTCATTATTTTGACAAGAGCCTGATTCCACCCGCTGCCTCACAATTATGTTTTTAAATGGACATAAAAGATTTGAGCCATGAAAAGAAATTTTTTTTTTTAATTGCCCAATGGCCAGAAAAATAGCTCTACGAGTTTCTTCAATTTCATTATTTTGTCCAGCGCCTGATTTCACCACGCTGCCTCACATATTATAAGCAGTTGCGAGCGCCGTAAAACCTTATACCATACATCCATACATCACATATTATTTGTTGTTGGACTTTTGTGTCTATGTTAGGCCAGCCGCATTTTCAGATGCTTTTATTGATTTTCTGAGCCAGACCGAAGGGCTAGAACCCAAATGGCCGCTGGATCGGAAAAGTAAAAGTAAAGTAAAGTATTGATTTTTTAAAGAAATCTTTGTTCATATTACATTGTAAAATTATCATCATTGTTTTTAGTAAGATATTATCATTATTCTTATTTATTAGTATCATTATCATTTTGCTGATTGGGGTGTTGAGATTTTTTTGTCAAAATTCCCCCCCTCCAAAAGACTTTTAAAATGTTCAGTTTATAGCTTTTAAAAATTAAATAAAGATCTGAAGGACAAACTGAAATAATTAATTTTAGCTTTTTTTAAGCAAGCCTTTACATTCTTCTCATTAATTAATTAACCCCCCCCCCCCCAAACTCTCAATACAAGCAAACAGTTTCTTTTAAGATATTGACCTACTTTTGTTGGGCGGTTGAAGGGTGCCACATGTTGTTCCTACTGCTTTATTCTTCTATAAAAGTTGTTGTTTCTGTCTTTCAGTCTTGCTTACTTGTGATTTTTTAAAAATGTGTATCAACATAAAAAAAGAAAGTAAATGACTGCATTTTGTGTTGCTATGTCCATTGTATCATTGGGGCCCACATGCGCTACCTTTTATATTGTCTATGCCAAGAAGCGCTACAAGCTCACAATATGTCATATATATATATATAAAGTATATATATATATATATATATATATATATATATAATATACACTTTAAAAAAAAATTAACAGTTTTACATCTGTTTGTGTGTCACTGACTTCATTCATTGTTTTCCTTGACATGAGCTGAAAACTCAATACATTTCCTAATAAAACAAATGTTTGAAATTTTTTGGTTTACTTTCATCAATTGTTTTTCCTTAAAAAAAGCAAAACAAACGAAGGTGTTTTTAGGCCCCATTGACACAATTTAGATCCTATAGGCTATCCCCATCGTTTTATGCCAGAAAAATTTTGAAATTATGCAGACTGAGCCCAAGAATGTGAAATTATGCGATTCTGTTAATTTTAACAAAGAATGATAAAGGACAATAATCAGAAATTATGCCAAAAATGATCAAATTTTGCTAAATTATGCAGGGTGCATAAAACCATGGGGACAGTATAGGAGGCCGATTTCCGACCCTGCCTGTCAAGGCCGGCCCAGGCTGAGACTGAGAGGGATACAACATCCCAGCAGTAAGACCAGGCTGCCGGATAAAAATTTCTCCTTATCCGATTATCGAACTTGAGTCTCGTACATGCGACAAGGAAGTGCCTAACCGCTACTTTATTAGTATTACACAACAAACACAACAGTTTGTTTTCCTTCATAACCCTGGCGACCTAAACCCATCTGCCTGACTTTTGTAAAGCTGTCAAAAATGATTGTTTAAAGTTCTGTCCCTGTGGTTTTATGCACCCCGCATAATTTAGCAAAATTTGATCATTTTTTTTCACAATTTCTGATTATTTTCCTTTATCATTTTTTAAAAAAATTAACAGAATCGCATAATTTCACATTTTTGGGCTCAGTTTGCATAATTTCAGAATTCTTCTTGCATAAAACGACGGGGACAGAAAGTTAAAAGTTTATTCCACTCTCATTACCCACATGTCATACTCAAGGCAGAAATCCTAGCAAAAATTGACAAGTTAATGTTTTGACATTTAGTATATATAATATATCCAATAGATTTGATCACTTAAACACAGCGGCACCTGCTCTATCGACCACCTGTAAACAGGGATGTACACAGGTTTTGAAAAAAAATCCTGAAAATATCCACAATTACACTTCTTTAACCATTCACCGATCCTTAATAGCAGCATATGTGGTGCAATGGTAAGTTTTTTTGTTGATGTACACAGAGGACATATATTATGTTCGACTCCTCAGTGACCAAGTGAATTTCATCGAGTATTTCCGTCTGTGCGTCTCAATGCTGTATCCCGCTCGGCCCAGGTTGTCTCCAACATGAAGATTCAGAGCAGCCAGCCTTTGGTATGATCTAAATCATTGAAATGGAACCGTAAAACAGTACCATCATTGTATCCTTAAAGAGTAACACATTATGAAACAAAGTGCTAAAATCCACCTTTTATTTTCCCGAAAGATCATGAACATAGAAACTACTACAAAATTCTTCTGATTTCTTGACATCAGTCACTAAAAGCAGTGAAAATTGAGAAAAAATCCTGTAACTTATAACGTCTTGCACAAAAAAACGTTACAATGCCATTAATATTGATCACCAATGAAATGGACAAAAAGCTTATTTTTAAAAAGTTTGCCTTATATCACAAATATTTCAACACTTTTATAATAATAGTATCTTTTGAATCTCTACATACACAGAAAGAATGAAACAGTTTTGCCTCAGCTGGGGCAGTTTCAGCTGACTTTTTTATAATCATGCAAATAATAATGGTGAAAAAAAAAGTTATATATTTTTAATTAAGAAGTGTTTTTTTTTATTGCAACAAAGCATAGCTCTTGAAACTCAGTTTTATTGATTAGGTAACTACGATACTGTACCACATGTATTTTCAACAAACTGCTTTAATTAAATCAGCACCGAAAAAAAGTCTCTAAGGTCTACTATTTAAAGGCAAATGAAATTACTGTGACACTGATTCCATATTTATCTACTGTTGACAACATGTGATTTAACTACACATCACATTTCAAAATAATTCTTTCAAAAATCTTTACGATAAGACGTTCTTCAAGAAGGGACAATATTTCAGGAAGAAAGCTGGTCTAAAGCTTCTGTATTTCTGTGTGTTCTTCTCTGTACCATCAACAAAACAATAAATAAAAATAAAACTAATGAGCACTATAATTTACTATAAAAAAAGTAATCTCTTGGTTTCTAAACCACTCCCAGAACAGATTTTTAAAAACATAACTTAAATGAAAATTGGGCAAAACAACAAACTGAAAAAGTAAATATTGTAAAAATAAAAAAGAGGAACAATCTCGTGTAATTTTAAAAAAAGACGTTGAAATGATTAAGAAAAGAATCGAATTCTGTAACTGAAGAATTAAAAGGACAGACATTTCAATATCTATTCAGATGTACAGTTTAAAATTGAAAAAGTCATTACAGGTCTGAAAGTATCAGCTGCAGCAGACAGATCCCAATTTTAATACATTGGGGTCCGCCGAGCTGTTCTTTAAATGAAGTCAGCCACATCACTCGGCAGTTCCTGGATACAGGTGTTGTAAAACTGCTCAATGTCCTTCATTTTGCGGACGTCATCTCGAGTGATGAAGTTGATGGCGACACCTTTACGGCCAAAACGTCCGCCACGCCCGATTCTGTGGAAAAACAGAACATGAGCTGTTATTATAACGTTTTATGCCCCACTTCAGGATTCGACAGAATATTCAGGTTTTTTTTTTTGAGTACCGGATATCTAGAGTAGAAAATCAATGACAAGTGTGGTCAAACCTGCTCTAATGGCCACCTGTATAAGACAATCACCTGTGTGAGACAATCACCTGTATAGGACAATCACCTGTATAGGACAATCACCTGTATAAGACAATAACTTGTATAAGACAATCACTCGTATAAGACAATCACCCGTATAAGACAATCACCTGTATAGGACAATCACCTGTATAAGACAATAACTTGTATAAGACAATCACTCGTATAAGACAATCACCCGTATAAGACAGTCACCTGTAGAGTACAAACGACCACTTTTCACGTCTTCCCTTATACATCTTTAATATTACACTGAAACTGTGTAAGACATCCACCTGTCTAAGACAACCACTGTTCTCCTAGACAAAGGGTGGCTGTCTCGGATAATTGCAACATTAATTGTAATTGCAACGTTTTTAAACAATTCCCTTTTTCTCGTCATATTTTTCTTATTTTGTTTTTTCTTGAAACTTAACAATTTGAACCATGGCAACACATTTTTACGAAACCTACAAATATCCGCACAAAAATCAGGACATGAGACTACAAAAAATCTTGTCCACTCTTAAAGTAGTTGACTGATCATTCGGACTTTTCTTCGGAGTATGCAAGATAGAAAATCATTTACAAGTACCGTACATGTATTATAATAAAAAACGGTGCCGAGATGGAATCCCCAGGGTCAGAGAAAGAGGAAAAGACAAGAACAACATGTCACAGGAAGATGAAGGCAGGTGGCAAAAGTTTGGCTCCTTAGTCAAAAACACAGCAAGCAAGGGGAGCAGTATACAGAGAGCTGCACTTTCAGTGTTGTAATTTGTGAGGCAGCGTGGTGGAATCAGGCTCTCGTCAATTTTTGGGCATGTAGAGTTATTGGTATCATCTTAAAGCTTGTTCACTTGGCTTTATTTGGATGAATAAAAAATATCCATTAATCTTGAATACAAGTTGAGGTATGGGCGAATGAAGGAAGTGGGGTCCCCTTTTTTCATAGGTAAAATTAGTGAGAAAATGGCCGCCAAAGATGAGTTATTTCCTTACCTTAATAGTCCGTGGAAACTGAAAATTTACATTTTTTGTGCCTTTAATCAACATTTTTCAGAAAAATCCACAAAGAAATGAGTTCTTTAATGGGTATGAAGGGTGTCGGTCCAAAAAGCAAAAATTTGATAAAAATTCACAAACCTGTGGAAAAACACAAGTTTCTTCACTTTGATTATTTTGACGAGAGCCTGATTCCACCACGCTGCCTCACATTTAGTTTTAGTAAAAGTTTTATTTTTATAGCATTTTCTATACAAAAAGGTCGTAATATATATAAATGTCCAAGTTTGGAGGTGTAACTGAGAATAACTTACAAAGAAAAGAAGGAGGAGCCATGAGGACGCTTGATGTTTGAAAGGAAAAAAGGAGCAAACAACATCAGAGCACTACAAGCCACGCATTCTTTCTGTGCGACTAAACTGTGATGTAGTACTTAGAGAACTGTGACGTACCTGTGATGAGGTACTTAGAGAACTGTGACGTACCTGTGATGTAGTACTTAGAGAACTGTGATGTAGTACTTAGAGAACTGTGACGTACCTGTGATGAGGTACTTAGAGAACTGTGACGTACCTGTGATGTAGTACTTAGAGAACTGTGATGTAGTACTTAGAGAACTGTGACGTACCAGTGATGAGGTACTTAGAGAACTGTGACGTACCTGTGATGAGGTACTTAGAGAACTGTGACGTACCTGTGATGTAGTACTTAGAAAACTGTGATGTTGCACTTAGAGAACTGTGATGTAGTACTTAGAGAACTGTGATGAGGTACTTAGAGAACTGTGACATACCTGTCATGTAGTACTTAGAGAACTGTGACGTACCTGTGATGTAGTACTTGGAGAACTGTGACATACCTGTCATGTAGTACCTAGAGAACTGTGATGTTGCACTTAGAGAACTGTGATGTAGTACTTAGAGAACTTTGATGTAAAACTTAGAGAACTGTGAAGTACCTGTGATGCAGTACCTAGAGAACTGTGCTGTTAGTGCCACTCACCTGTGTATGTAGTTCTCTCGGTCAGTGGGCAGGTCAAAGTTAAGGACCATGGACACCTGCTGGACGTCCACACCCCGGGCCAGGAGGTCGGTACAGAGGAGCACCCGGCTGGAGCCACTCACAAACTCCTGCATGACCAGATCACGCTCTCGCTGGTCCATCTCGCCGTGCTGCGGGGGAAACAGACAACGAGATTGGACATTGTTTTATGTCATTATCATCATCATCATTCTTTTTTTTTTTTAATTTGTTAATTTTTTTTTTTGGTCCGTGTCCCGGTTTTGGTGCCCGTATTTGTTGGTTACGTAAAAAAAATAAATGTAATGGTGCAAATTGTCATTGTGTTTTCTAGAGAAACGAAACAAGGGAAAGGGGAATTGGTAAGTCGGTGATGATGATGATGATAATGCTGATGATGATGATGATGATGATGATGATGATGATGGTGACGGTAATGGTAATTGTGATGGTGAGCATGAGGATGATTATTAATTATGTTGGCAATGATGATGTTCTAATGTAGGAGATGAACTGCGTATTAGTCTTAGTGGTAAGTTTGTTTGGTGCTTACTCTAGATCCCCGCCAGGCTGTCCTGCATCATCATCATTGTATTCATGATTAAATCATTGTTTCACAATTGCAAAAATACTGGAGACTTGAATATAATTAGTTATAATATTCTGTTAGTTAGAAGATGTTTGATATTTCGTCAACTCTGGTTAAACCATCATCATCCTCATCGTTGTAGACTGCAAAAAGATTTTTAAAACGGGGGGGAGGCTTGTAAGATTTTAAAAAAATTGTATACGTTCGTTTCGCTGTCTTATGGCTTTGTCAGGAACATTTTTAAAAAATGATATCAATGATTAGACTAGAACTACACCATCATCATCATCATCATCATTATACTAGTGTCTGTGGTGTAGCGTTGTAACAGATAGATAATCCGCAAAACAACATCCTCCCCCAGGAATCAACCTACCAGCCAGGACTCATGCCTTCTGCTCGCACAGCTAAGTGCCTTATACAACCACTACATCACAGTTTCTGATTAGAAGAAGGGGGCAATGTTTTTTGTTTTAGTAGAGGGTTTTACGGCGCTCGCAACTATATAAGATCATATGAGCGCCAAGGGGTGGATGTCAACAGAGAAGTCTTTACAGGGAATCAGACTTACTCTGCTCACCTCTCCAGCTTCAACAGCACAAAGTCTGCTTCGACTATCAAGGCACCCCGGAAATAGCGGGTCACAAGAGTGTGACAAACATACAAAAGAAATAAAGGAAAATGAAAATAGTGAGGATTAGGAAAGAAAAAGCAGCAGTTCCCTGTTGTAGTTCAGGCACAGTTATCAGTGTGACATGATGAATCAGCCAATTTACAATTTTACTGTGCATGAACAAGAAATATCCCCCCTTTGGGAATGGCCTGACACTACAGTCAGTGGCACTAACTACCCCGGGGGGGGGGGGGGGGGGGTGGATTGTGCCAAACAACATACACTGTTTGAGTTTAAAGAGAACATAATTGAGACAAAAAGAGTTATTTATATCCTGAAAAAAAAAATAATTTAACAACAAAAAAAACATAAAATAAAAGGAAAATGAAGAACCATGGGAAATGTAAGGTTAGACACAAGAATGAAAGAAACAGACCCAGCAACTCACAACTCACAGGGACCAACTTTAACAAAAACAAGCAAACAGTAATACACACTTTACAACCTATCCTACTATTTCCACAAAAGCGAGGGTTGTCCTACTATTTCCACAAAAGCGAGGGTTGTCCAACTATTTCCACAAAAGCGAGGGTTGTCCAACTATCTGTCCTCAGAGAAAGTTGCATTTGAAAATAGCAAAAGTTGCAAAAAGTTGCAAGAAAAATTAGCAAAAGTTGCAAGAAAAGTTGCAAGACGTGTATAGCTAAAACAATGCCACGGAACTATTGGAATACATTGTTGCTATGCTCATTGCAATCTAAAGTAACCTATCTATGAGTTTTGTTAGATCAAAATCACAAGTTAAATGGGAATGTCTACCAAAAAAAAAAAAAATGCATGGAGGTTGCATGGTGTACAAAAACAGTTTGTCCCCTGACACATGAGTCAGGTCCTTAAACGCTAGCTGACGTTGGGTAGGTGTGACCAGCGTGGTTTTGGGGCTGTTCAAATATAATCTTACACTTTTTTAAACACTTTCCTGCCCCCCCCCCCCCCCCCCCCCCCCCTTCAATCCCGTAATATTACGTTATTCGCTTAAAATAATATGACATTTATATTGCGCAAATCAGTGTTACAATCACTCTTCTATGCGCTTTACCTTTAAATGATTAATTATAGTATTCATGAAAAACATGCATAGATCTACACACATGTGACAATGTGACATAATAATTAAATACGCTTCAAGCGGAACTTTTCCAGAAAAACGCACGTTGTCATTTTACCACTTTAACCGCACCGGTGTAATCAAAATTAGACTAGATCTACATGTTAATTGTTATGTAGCCCAGATATCTACCAGTGTATAAAGTGCGAGTTGACAAATATATATATATATACATATATCGTGCTTGCCGCTCGAGGTCCACTGCATCGCCACAATGCAGTGCTTAATTACCGCTCGAACTTACTCTTTGTGAATAGTGTAATTACTCTCTTTTTATGCTTGCTTATTATTTTTTTTAATTACGTTGTCATAAATTATATTTTCCTTGATTATTTTTTCACCTTACAAAAGTGTAATTTTACATTGGTCCCCCCCCCCCTTCTTACACTTAACTTTTACAGTACAGGAGCCAACCCCTCCTCCTTTTTTTTTTCCAGGCGTAAGATATTATTTGAACGTCCCCTTTAGGGATTTTCTGGATGAATCGATCCATGTCTAGATTAGCCTCCTAGCCTAAGATTTAAAGTCTTTCACAAATTTGTTTATACTAGATCTAGATCTAGATCTATCTACCTGGTGCTACGGAACCATTCATGAAGCAAGCTAAGTAATCAGACGACCTAGTTTACGATTGATTTACTCTAGATCTAGATCTAGCTAGACTAGAAGATGATTCAGTCCAAACAAGACTATTGGGTCGGTTTGCTCGCCAGATTATGATGCAAAGCGGCCATCATGGCACAAGTCGATCGCACCTGACTCGTAATTGTTTCAAAACAAACACGTTGTTTTCAGGCGACAAGTCGGGCGATCATCCCGACCCGACCTGACCCGGCCCGGGTCACTGGGCGGCGGCGGCGGCGGGCACCCCGTAGTGCAAAGGAGCGAATTGTTCCCCTTGGCGTCGTTATTTTTAGTCGTGGAAGAACATTTCGGTGTTTTTAATGACAATTTTTTAATCATTTTCCCAAATTTTGCGGGAAATTGGCTAAAATTCGCGAATTCATGAAAATGGTAAAAGTTGCGCAAAAGTTGCGTGCGCGAATTTCTCTGAGGACAGAACTATTTCCACAAAAGCAAGGGTAGACAAACAAGTGAATAACTTACAATGGCAGACACAGTGAAATCCTTTTCCTTCAAGCTTCGGGTGAGCCAGTCCACTTTGCGGCACAGGTTACAGAAGATGACCGATTGGCTGATGGTCAGCGTCTCGTACAGGTCACACAGGGTCGCCAGTTTGAATTCCTGAAACGGAAAAGTATACACGAGTCTGGACTCTTTTCACACATGTACAATTATTTAATCACTTTTATGCGTATTTATATATATATAGATCTAGACTGGTGGTGAAATGAGCAGCCATAAAACTGGAAATAATTAATAAACTTAATAAGAAATATATCATTTATAATATATGTAAACATGGGTAAATATAATTTATTAGCGTACAGAGCGTGCTGTTGAGCTGAAATTTGTGGTCTACAAATTAAATGCTATGTGTCACGCCACGGAGGAATTAGACGCTCATCAATTTTTGGGCATATGTAGTTATTGGTGTCATCGTAAATCTCGCTCATTTGTCTTGCTTTTGATAAATACAACAGAAGTCGAGATATTGGCAATTACAGGAGGCTGAGGTCTCCTGGTGTCAAGGGGAAAATTAACGAGAAAATGGCTGCCAAAGTTTGGTGACTTCTAAAGCTTGAGTTACCTTAAAAACAGCATATTTATTTTTTGTGTGTGTGTGCCTCTGATCAACGTTTTTCTGTAAAATCCACACAGAAATGTGTTTTTAGATGGACATAAAAGATGTTGGAAAAAAAATTAAACAAAAAGTGCCCAATCAATGGAAAAATGTTTGTTTCTTCAATTTCTTAATTTTGACGAGTGCCTGATTTCACCAGGGAGCCATACATATAATCTATCTCTCTCTCTCTCTCTCTCTCTCTATATATATATATATATATATATATATATATATATATATATATGACATGACATCATTGATTACCCAGTTACAGTTTCCATGTGTACCGACCTCTTTCTCTACTTGCACATAGAACTGTCGGATTCCCTCCAGAGTCAGCTGTTCCTGCTTGACCAGGATGCGGACCGGGGCTCGCATGAAGTTCTCCGTCACCGCCAGGACCTCCTGAGGCAGGGTGGCGGACACGATCATCACCTGATGGAGGGGAGGGGAGGGGAGGACGGAGGAACGGACAGAGGGATAGAAGAAAGGGGAGGACGGAGGAATGGACAGAGGGATGGAGGGAGACATAAAAATAATAGTTACAGCACAGCGTTTCAGGAGAAGAAACACAGTGAGGTTAAAGGTTAAAAACAGTCAAAACAGCCAGAAAGATAACAACATTAAAATTTAACAAAACAGTCCAGATTTAATTTTATCCCACTTTGTGATTTTTCTCAAACGGAAAAACAAAGAGAAATAAAATTTTTCTTTAAAAAAAAGGAATAATTATATGAAAATTGTTTTAAAATATTGTGTGGCTGGAGTAAAATTCTCTCTGGCTTTGTCTGTAAAGTGCTATAACATGCAAGTCCAATCAAGATCAGTACTCGCGTTTTAGATAAGCCGAAAGGTGTCGCTGTAGTTTCAGTTTGATTTCCTTCTCCATCACATAAGACATTTGTATGCACAGAAACGTACATTATCCATCCTATTTTCTTTGGATAACCCAGCTTTATATGTGTGCTTCACAATCAGCACGGAGGGAATCTGTGAAGGATAATCGTATGCACCTAACAGGCTGGAAAAGTGACTAAAACAGCAGCTCAATCTGGGTTGACAGCACTAGATAATTCTTGTCATTTTTTTTTAAAGGAGATCAGATTATAAAAGCACAAAAGCTAGCAAACCTTAAAATAATTTTTTTTAAATTTTTAATGTGTGAAATTTCAATCATTAGTAGTTTACACCGGTGGTGTTGGTGACTAGTGGTTAGGCTACCGGACTCATAATCGTGAGATTGCGGGTCCGGGGTTTCAAGCCTCAGCTCAGTCCGATGTTGTATCCTTGAGAAAGGCAATTTACACGAATTCCCACTTGGCTCGGTCCTTTCGGAGAGGGACGTTAAACGCGGAGGTCCCTCCTCTTAAATGACCTAATAATGTTGATAGGGGTGTTAAACCTTTTCCATTTTATTTTTAGGTTACACCCATTTGGCAGAATATGGGGCGTCGTAATTTACTAAGAAAAAACTAGGACAACCACAAGATAAAGAAGTAGAAACCAGCATATGTGGTGCAGAAAGTAGGTGCTTTACAGTTGCAAGCAGGAGACCCAAGTTCGATTCCCAAGTGAGGAGAAATTTTTATTGAGTATCTCAGTTTTTCAGATGGGATATTGTATTCCTCTCAACCCAGGCTGGACCTGATAGGCAAGGTCAGAAGCCCGGCTCCTCAATGATCTAAATTGTGTTGATGAAGAAATAAAAACACCTACATTTGATTAATTTTAAATATTTAACAATGGAGAAGTAGAAGCAGCTTGCAACATCAAATTCCCTCTATTAACGATCTGCACCAAACTTGACACAGGCTAAAAGGACAAACCTGCACATCCACAGGGAGGTACTTGAAGATGTCGTAGATAGCATCTTTGAAGCCCCGAGACAGCATCACGTCTGCCTCATCCAGTACAAAGATTCGGATGTCACGAGGGTCAAGGCCACGGTGGTTGGCAATCATGTCAAGGACACGACCTGGGGTGCCCACCACAACATGCACACCAGCCTGGGGAATGAGGGGGAAAAAAATGGAAAAAAAAAAAAACTGAGATTGTTCTGTTTTGCTTTTGTTGAAATTTAATAGGCTGTGCCCTTTGGAGGAACGGTTCGGTTTGGTGTCTGGCACCGTCCAGGCATACATGCTATTAATAGACCCATGCCTTAAACCGATCACCCGACTCACGGTCTTGAAAATAATGTGCTTGTTTTTTAAAGGATATCATCAGTTTGAGTCCCATTGGTAGCTTTTATCCCTCCATGACCAGAAATCTGTTTTGCCTCGACAACTGAACCAAACCAAACCAGTCCTGCCAATGGGAACTACATTTAACTCTTCATGCAACATGTACACAAATACACACGTAATTTTAACATATTGCAGGAAGTGTAGGCCGGACAGGTCTCAAAACTAGACACAGATCTTTCTTTTTTTTTTCTTTTTTAAATAAGTTTTCTGGCATTCACACTGCATAAGGTCATACGAGCGCCCATGAGACATAAAACTAAAAGGAAACGATCTAGAAGAATTATAGGAAAAACTATTGACCTAACTTGGATTTTAACCCTGAAATTTTATCAATTGGCAAGGTATTTACAACATTTTAAAACAAAAATTACATCAGTTTAATTATTGCATTATTATAGTTCCCTATAGAAATACTATTGTCGTTTATGAACAAATAAAACATTAACTCTTAATCAAATTGTGCTGGAGACATTAAGGGTTGTTCACGTTCTAATTTATGCATGTAAGATTTCTCTAAACATTCTGAAGGGTGCACAGAAAAAGAAGGATGAACAAAATAATACTAGAAATCCTAAAACACACCAAAAAAATCCATTGATAGAGTACAACAGTCATTTAGAAAGTTATATAGTCTTTTAGACCACAATAGGCATGAAAATGTCCTGTCACTTTTCTTATTTCATTCATCATCATCATAAAAGGCCAGATCTGATGCAGAAATCGGTGACCATGGTTCTCCCATTCAATTCTCCTCTCAGATCCCACATTATCCTGGTGTTTCCTCATCACACTTCTGTCCAGATTTTACAAATAAACCTGCCGTTTATGTTGCCAGTGAGAGTAAAATGTTCAAAGCCTGTAAGTTGAGTAAAATATCATAAAGATACAGAAGGTTGTTGTGTATTTCAGAGCACAAAATATATTTTAGAAACATGATGCAATTGACACAGCAGCCAGAAAAATGTGAGGCAGCGCGGTGAAATCAGGCGTTCATTAAAATAACGGAATCAAAGAAACCGGCATTTTTTTAGGAGTTGGGCAATTTTTTAAAATGTTCTTTCTGTGGCTCAACACCTTTTATTTCCTTTTAAAAATGTACCTCGGTGTGGGTATTGCTGAAAAACATTCAATAAAGGCACAGAAAATGTGAATTTCCAGTTTCCAAAGAAACTCAAGGTTTGGAAGTCACCAAACTTTGGCGGTCATTTCCTAGCTAATTTTACCTCTCCTAAGTGACCTTCACCTCCTTCAATCACAAATATCATGATTTCTAATCAAGATAGTGTCATGATATTCGATACTTATACTCGAATATAGAGAAGATGTTCGATACGAAAGTAAACACTTCCCTTCCCTATGAAATCAATATCGCTGAATGTTTATTATCGTCTTGTGCTCATCCGACTTAGATCAAATATCAAGAATACATAACATCATAACAGATAGATGGGTATTTTTTTTCATCGAAAGCAAGACAAATAAACAAGCTTTAAAATAATAATAATAAATCTACATGCCCAAAAATGGAAGAGCGCCTGATTCCACTGTGCCGCGACACAACTGTTCACTCTTATGCCTGGGGAGATATTTATGTCTGTATAAAAATCTCATTTTTAACCACGCACAGAACAAATCAGGGCACACAGACTGACCTGCAGCCTCCGCGCATCCTCCCGCGAGGAGAGACGACTTCCG